GGTGGCAAAATTAATTCCATCTGTATGGAGAGGCTTGCATTTCTTGCTGTAATAATGACTTAGGGGAAAAAAAAGGTTCATTGTGCCTGTCAGTGGCTTGAGAATATTGCTGGAAACTATCAGGCATACTATGCAACTGCAGTCTTTGGTCCAGGTCAAAAACTCTGGCCAAAAAGGAACCTTAGTTTCTGAGTTAGTGTCTGCATGACTGCATTCTTTTTATTTTTATTTATTTTTTATTTTTTATTTTTCATGACTGCATTCTTTTGGAATGTCAATCACGAATTTTTGAGATAATAAATTCTTTCTCTTATGGGTGGCTTTTTATACAGAGATGTTTAAATTTAAATATAGATATACTGTCTTAAAACTTTTATACTCATTTTTTAAAAGATTTTATTTATTTTTAGAAAGAGAGAGAGAGCACACGTGCAAGTGGGGTGGGAGGGACAGAGGGAGAGGGAAAGAATCTCAAACTCCCTGCGGAGCATGGAGCTGGATGTGGGGCTAGATCTCATTACCCCAAGATCATGAGCAGAGCTGAAATTGTACACCCAACTGACTGAGCCACCCAGGCACCCCTTAAAAACTTTAATATTGAGTCCTTTTTGTATATTTATAACTAAATTGTAATGTTCAAGAGATTTTTGCATACTAACAATTCTAGTTAAATATTACTGAGTAATTGAGATTTATGATGTTAGTTGGATTATAATCAGAACATTTTAAGAAATTTTGGGACACCTGGGTGGCTCAGAGGTTGAACATCTACCTTGGGCTCAGGGCATGATGCCAGGGTCCCGGGATCAAGTCCCACATCGGGCTCCCTGCATGGAGACTGCTTCTCCCTCTGCTTATGTCTCTGGCTCTTTATCTCTGTGTCTCTCATGAATGAATAAATAAAATCTAAAAAAGAAAAAATTTTAAGGCTGACAGTATTTTTTTTTTTTTTAAGATTTTAAAAGGAGAAGCAGGCTCCCTGCAAGGAGCCCAATGTGGGACTCAGTCCTGGATTCCAGGATCACGCCCTGAGCTGAAGGCAGACGCCCAACCACTTGAGCTACTCAGGCATCCCGGCAGACTATATTTGTAACTTTCTTTTTTTTTTAATATTTCATTTTTAGGGCATCTAGGTGACTCAGTCAGTTGAGCATCTGACTCTTTTTTATTTTTAAAGATTTTATTTAATAAAATAAAAATTACATTGGATGTAATCTCTGCATCTAATGTGGGGCTAAGCTTACAACTCTAAGAATCACATGCTGAGGGGCATCTGGGTGGCCCAGTTGGTTAAGCGTCTGTGTTCACCTCGGGTCATGATCCTAGAGTCCCGAGATCAAGTTCCATGACCAGCTCCCTGCTCAGCGGTGAGCCTGCTTTTCCCTCTCTTCCTGCTTGTGCACTCTGTCTCTGTCCCTCTCTCTCTCGAATAAATCAAATCTTTAAAAACAAAAGAATTGGGCAGCCCAGGTGGCTTAGCGGTTTAGAGCCACCTTCTGCCCAGGGCATGATCCTGGAGACCCTGAATTGAGTCCCACGTCAGGCTCCCTGCATGGAGCCTGCTTCCCCCTCTGCCTGTGTCTCTGCCTCTCTGTCTCTCTGTCTCTCTTTCTGTGTCTCTCATGAATAAATAAATAAATTCTTTATTAAAAAATAAAAACAAAAAAGAATTGCATGCTCTACTAACTGAGCCAGCCAGATACTCCTATATTTATAATTTTAATTTCTTGGATTTAGATGAATTATTTACCTATTTGGGATAGCTTTAAAGTGCTCAAAAATAACAGAACATGTTAAAATGACAAAAGGGGGTGCCTGGCTTTCTCAGTCAGTAGAGTGTGCAACTCTTGATCTTGGGGTCCTGAGTTGAAGTCCCACATTGGGTATAGAACTTATACCAAAAAAAAAAAAAAAAAAAGAAAAGAAAAAAGATCCAGGGGTGCCTGGGTTGCTCAGTTGCTTAAGCATCTGCCTTTGGCTTGGGGTGAGCCCCTCATTAGGCTCCCTGCTCTGGGGGGAGCCTGCTTCTCTCTCCCTCTGCCTACCTCTGCCCCTACTTTCTTGCTCACTCTCTGTCAAATAAATAAATAAAATATAAAAAAAAAGATCCAAGCATACTAAATTTAAGGAAATTTGTCTAACATAAATAGGACTAATTTTTTTAAAATTTATTTTACGATAGTCATACAGAGAGAGAGAGAGGCAGAGACACAGGAGGAGGGAGAAGCAGGCTCCATGCACCGGGAGCCCAACGTGGGATTCGATCCCAGTCTCCAGGATCGTGCCCTGGGCCAAAGGCAGGTGCCAAACCGCTGAGCCACCCAGGGATCCCTGATTTTAGAATTTTAGCTTCATAAATGAAATTTTTAAAATTGAGTCTTTTTTTTTTTAATTCCTGAGAGATTAAAATAAACAAAATCTTAAAAAAATTTGATATTCATGAAAGATTTTATATATTTATTCATGAGAGACACACAGAGAGAGGCAGAGACATAGACAGAGGGAGAAGCAGGCTCCCCGGGAGCCCGATGAGGGATTCAATCCTGGGGCTAGGATCAAGCCCTGAGCCAAAGGCAGATGCCCAACCACTGAGACACCCAGGAATCCCAAAAACACTTTGTTTTAGAGTCAAAGTTTTCCAGCTGCTGTTTCTTGATTGTGCTCTAAATTTCCAGGTTCGGGGAACCTGGGTGGCTCAGTTGGTTATGCATCTGACTTTGGCTCAGGTCATGATTCCTGGGTCCTAGGATTGAGCCCCCCCATCTGACTCCCCACTCAGTGAGGAGCCTGCTTCTTCCTCTCTCTGTCTCTCCTCTCGTGCTCTCTCTTGTTCTGCTCTCTCAGATAAACAAATAAGATATTTTTCAAAAAAATAAACTTCCAAGTTCACTCTGATCATCCTTGAGCAGAAAATAATTTAGGAAATACTCAATAATTGGGACACCTGGGTGGCTCAGTGGTTGAGCCTCTTGGCTCATGGCATGATCCTGGAGTTCTGGGATTGAGTCCTGCATTGGGCTCCCTGCATGGGGCCTGCTTCTCCCTCTGCCTGTGTCTCTGCCTCTCCGTGTCTCTCATGAATAAATAAAATCTTAAAAAGAGAGAGAAATATTCAATAATCAAGTGATTGAAAGCTTAAAACTTTCCTATTCACAAATAAGTCTAGAAGTTAAAGTCAAATTTTGTGTTGTCATATTCCCAAACTAAAAAATTAGTAAGGGGCCATCTTTATGCTTTGACATTTGCACAATTAACAAGTCACAATAATAGAACTAAAGGGGCAAAAAGAAGGCAAAAGTTAGCTTTGGTTTTTTGTTAGCTTGAGCAGTTCTGTGATTTTCAACACAACAAAATTTTTTTTGGAAGATATTATTTATTTATTCATGAGAGACACTGAGAGAGAGAGAGAGGCAGAGACACAGGCAGAGGGAGAAGCAGGCTCCTTGCAAGGAGCCCAATGTGGGACTGGATCCCGGGACTCCAGGATCACAACCCAATCGCTGAGCCACCCAGGCGTCCCTTGTTACTTAAAAAATTTGAAAGAGGATCTGAATTTTCAGAGGAAGCAGTAAGGTAATATAACTATGCAACATCTATTAATCCTTTCAGAGGAACACCTGTGTGGAAAATTAACCAGAAATGTAAAGGCCCTTGATACATTTCCACTAAATAATTATTCAGCAATAACAAGTTACCTTTTCTGAGAATTAAATATTTGCCAGGTACTTTATGGACATTATCTCATTTAATCGTCACTATGCTTCTAGGAGGTCTTCATTCACTTACTGAGTGTCCACCTGGCTGGGCACCAAACTAACTAAACACTGAGAATTCAACAGTGAGCATTATCAGCTTAGGTCAGTTTCACGAAGCTTAGCCTAGTAATTATGCTACCGCCTCCCTTCTTCATAAAAGGAAATGGAGGATAGGCTTTGAGAGATTAATTTACTTGTCCAAGGTCACACGGTGTTGGAGCAGCTACAAGAACCAAATTATCTCTCATGTCTATCTTTACCCTCAATCCTTAAGCTCTTAATAGACTTAACTGTAAGATTTTCCCCCCTTAAGTCCTCTAACTTTTTCAAAAAATTTTTTTCCAAATATTTTTATCATGGAGGAGAAAGCCTATATATAGTCAACAACCTCTCGGCTGCCTCTTCTTCTTCAGTGTTGACCAGAGAAATGTGATGCTGTTTTACACTGTCAGGTATCTGGGAAACTTGAAGGGCTAGAAGTCAAGTACCCGGGGAATGGGGGACATTTTTGAAGAAAACAATAGGAACCCTGACACAAGGCCAGAGTATCAAATCCGAGGCACAAAGCTGATCCATTGCCAAGGGAAGCACTTTGTTTCTTCACCTTCTCTTTGCCTTTCTCCACTATTTCCAAGGGTGTTTAGTCAGCGGAGCGTAGCCCACTGGCTCCAAAAGGCCGGAGAACCTAATTTTTATTCTACACCCATAGCCCCCTACAGTCTCCTCTTGGCTTCTTTCTTACACGCTTTTCACTTTTTCACCCTTGGAGGTTAATCTATAGAGGGCAGTTTTCGTTATATTCTATCGCCATATGGACAAACTGCTTTATGGCGACCTTGACAGACACCAGGGTGGGAGGCCCGGGGGAGGGGAGCGGCGGTCAGCTCTGGGAGAGAAACCTTCAGATAGCTGTGAGGAGGCGCCACAAGGAGGGGAAACCACCGAGCTCCACTCAGCGTTCAGTTTTTAAAAAGATTGACGGGAAGTGTACCAACTGTCTTTGCTCTAGCTTCTTGCGCGGTCTCGCGAGATACGGAGGTCTATGTGGAGAGGGTGTCAAAGGCGCCGTTCTAAGTGGGGGATGGGAATATCTGTGGCGCAATCATTGCGCGAGATTGGGCCATGGTCGCTGGGGCCGTGCTTACGTCTCGCGATATTTTGGCTGCTCCGGTCTGGAACTAGGGACAGCTTCTCGCGAGAGCCCGTGCTGGGAGCTCTGTGAGGCCCCGTGTGTTTGTGTGTGTGTATGTGTGTTGGTGGATGTGAGTACGAGGAAGCAGCAGCCGCCATTTCACAGAGCTTGCCGAAGCTGTCGCAGGGGTGGATCCTGAGCTGCCGAAGCCGCCGTCCTGAACTTCCGCGCGGGCTCCTCTAATCCCATTGTTTCTTTTAGATTCGCTCGGGCCTATCCGCCCTCGGAGCCCGAAATTCGGGCTGGGCGGTACCGTGGCCTGGGCCTAGCGGCTTAACAGTAGCAACAGCGGCGGCAGCAGCAGCCCCCCTCTTTCCGAATACAAGCACCCCAGGGGCCCGAAAGCCCGCACAGGTAAGGAGATGTCGCGGGCCTGTGTATTGCCAGAGGTTTTCGGAGACTTGGTTTTCGGCTGTTTTGAGGGACACTCAGGCGATCTATAACGACGGGGGCGGGGGGGAGAAATCGGTTCCATTTAGGCGACCGCGCCCTTATTTTCCTTTCGTGTGTATTTCAGGGTTCTTGGGTGGTAGGGACCCCAGAGAGGCGTCGGGCGGATGGCGACCAGTCCCTTCGAGGCCTGGTCGGCCGCGACCTCCCAACATGGCGCCAGCCGAACGCTACCATGGCACACAACCCCTCCCAACCGAGGGAGTTTCCCTTTGCCCCTAAAATGGCAGCGCGGGTTTTGCGGGGAAAGAGGCGCTCTCTCTCGAGGCGGGCGGGTTCTGCTTTTGGAGTTAATTGTGGGCGCTTTTTTTTCTTTATCGTATATTTAATGCCTTGTATTCGGTCTTGGAGATAATTCAGATTTAGTTACCGAGCCTGGTAAAGTGCATCGTGCCACCTCAGTCATTCCAGGTCTTTTTGTAGGCTTTTCTTAAGTTTTGGAGTTTGTCGGATAAGAAGGAAATTGAGCAGAATTGGAAAACGTTTACTCACTGAATTACCTTTCTTATTTTGTAGGCGCTTAGAGAAAATGGCAGACGATATTGATATTGAAGCAATGCTTGAGGCTCCTTACAAGAAGGTGAGAAAAAACATGTCGGTGAGGTTTATATATTTCTTAATTTAGCATTATCACGAAACTACTGCTGAAATGTAAACTAACCTCCCCGGAGCCCTCTTGATTTATCTTGTCAGAGATGCATTACGTGTAACTTACAAAAGTAAATATATGCTATTGATGTAATAATATTGTGCAGTAGTTTCACTTCAGCGTGATGAATAAATGCCCATCTATCTCTCTTTGTAGACTTGCCTAACGATATCTCACCTCTACTCCCATGAATTCACCTTTGATTCCAGTGTGAACTGTCAATCATAAGGTAGTAATTGAGTGACTTATCGCTGTACCGTGGTCCCCTAGGTAAAATGACTCCACTAAGAATTACCAGCTCCAGTTTGGTATAGCAAAAAGGTGAATGTAGTGGTTTGGGAAACTAGCAGGGGTCCAAGAATAACCAAGCATAACCAGTCTGTGGCAAGCAAATCTTTTAAATAAGTTTTACAAGAAGAAATGGGTGAGATTTAAATTTTTTCTATATATATATATATATATATTGACTGGTGATAGTAAATATTGAAACAGGCAGGTATTGATCTGCTGCTCTGTTAAAAATTACTAAAATTCTTGGATCCCTGAATAGAAATTTTTTTAAAGGCAAAGGAGACAGTATCACAATTTAGAGTCACTTGATGACGGTTTTACTGTCCTCCGTATTGTTTTTTTTCTTTCTTTTTTTTTTTTTTTTTTTTAGTCCCTGCCATAATATTTCACACTAAAAGCTACAAAGGAATTATTTTGGCTAAGAGTATAGTCTGACCCATTTCAGTATCACAGTATAAAAAGTAAAGTGTCTTTTCATTCTTTCACCAGTTGGTGGTGAAAATAGCAGTATGCATGCATTATCACTGGTGTCGCAAACTGTAAGCTTTGTAAGTTAGCACTTATACTTCTATAACTGATGTAATCAAACTTTAAAAATAAACATTGCGCTAAACCTTTTAAAATAATACGTTCGTTTTGTTGGAGTGTATAGCACGACCATGTGGTACCAATTTGGATGAATTCTTTTTAGCTTTAAATAGTGTATGTAGTTTTGTAATGCTTAGACTCTTGAAGAACTGCTTTCTGTTTTAATGTTAAGATTCTTGTGTCTTAGTTTAACATGGATGTAATTCCATGTAAACAGGTATGGAAGTAGGAAATGTTTAGGCTGGACTGGTGGATTATTAATTGACTTTCTTGGGTTCTTGGGAGTCAACATTACTAAAGCAGTGTGAATCCCTGTTTGCTTCAGGGCGAGATGTGTGACAGAGGTGGCATCAAGCTCTTACAGTCCCAACCCTCCAACGGAAATGGGCGAAGATCTCAGGAATGGCATCGGTCACAGGAAATCGATAGTGGCTGGCTGCTAGCATGGCCACTTGGGGCTTAGGCAGAAATAGAGCCATGGTACTGACCAAAGGGACCATAGCACATGGAATAAAACTCAAAACAGGACTTAATTCATGTTTTATAGAAGTTCTATTTAACCACTTCAACACTGTAAATCTGGATAACTTAATATCTAACTATATAAAATAAAATTTAACATGTTAATATGCATTTTTATTTTTGTATCTTGATGTCTTAATTGTAAGCAACAAAGTGGTTAAACACATACCCATCTAAATTTTTTTATAGCCTTCCGTGTTAAACTATAAATAAGTAATTAGTTTTAAAATTGTTTTGTATTTTCTTATTCCTGTTCCCTTTACCCTTTGACAACTTGAAATGTTACCACTTCGTCCTCATGATGTTCTTCTATCAACCCTGCTTAGGATGAGAACAAGTTGAGCAGTGCAAACGGCCATGAAGAACGTAGCAAAAAGTAAGTTATAAGAAGGGACCTGGGGTGGGGGGACCTTTATGTGATTGAGATCTTAAATTGTGTTCCTGTGGCGATAGCATCAAACTGAAAGTTCTCTTCAGAAGCTTTTCCTTGTCTCTCCTAGAAAAGTCGTTCTTTACCTTCTGAAGGGATGATAAACTATTTGAGGATATGAAACTGGATTCTTTCTTAGATTCCAGGATATAGTTTCAGGGATTTTTTTGGACACCTTCCCCTCCAAGCCTACTCAAAACAATCTGGATAAGAGTTCCTGTATTAGAGTTTGTCTTTTGTCTTCAGTTTTTATAAAGTTTGGCTTAATATTTTGGTGGTGTGTTATCAATAAAACTATCATACCCACTAAAGATCAGTTAGGAAAGGAAAAAAAGGTAACAAATGACTAACTCATGGAAAGTATTGTTTGCTCTAAATCACTGAAGGGGTCAGAATTGTGTATTATGCTCCTTGCTGTTTAAAGGCCCTTTTTGTAGTAATAGAGCACACTTAAGTACTTTTTAGGTGCCTCTTAAATGGTTTTTGATGTCTTCAGTTTTTTAAACTCTAATAGACTTAACAGTGAAAATGGAGTTTTAAATTCTGCATATTTATGCAGTTTACTAGGTTAAATGAGTAACTGGTAACAGGAACTCAGCGTTAAATTTTAGTATAGGATACAGTATATAAGTCTCAATGACCGTATAAACCAGAACCACATTATAAGGTTGAATCCTATTTTTGGAGTATTCTTTCCGCTCTAAAAATTAATGATTCTTAACATACGGTCATGTTAAAAGCATTAAATTGTTTTAGTAGCCTATTTTTGTGATGTCATTAAAATAATTTGTCACATACATGACCCTGTAGTACCTAACAAAGAATGGTAACATAGCCCCCTTATTTGATTTTTTTTTTGGCTCTTTTCCTAATGAGAAGAGCTCAACAAGTGCTTCGTAATACACTACCTCAGCATCCTCACAGCAACTTTGTTAGGTTGATTGAATTTCAGAAAATAGATGAGAAATTCTTAGATTGGATTATCTAGGCATTGTTATGCTGATTTTTAAAATTCTTATATTTAAAATGATCCAATTTGTAGAAAATGTCGTACTTTGGGGGGGTAGAAACTGGGGTAGAGGATCTGTTACAGTCCTCACTAATCACAAAAGATTGCGGGAATTAATCACATTGGGTTTATAGTCTTGAATTATTACGGTTTGAGGCAGTCAACCAATTGCATGGTTTAACATCACCTGGTTTTAGACCTTTTACCAAAGTAAGTTTTCTGATTAATGGTTCTAATTGCCATTTCATAATGAAAACCTAGGAATGAGTATCCAAGTAAATTAAAATTATCCAATCAAGGTATTAGGCCTTTTGTGTGGGTAAAGACCTCACCCTAAGTGCCAAAAGGATGAGGACATGCACTTTGGGCACAGTTTTCTTTGTTCCACCATTCTCAGATGTCACTCCTTGCTACTAACTCAATCTCCAGTTTATACTTGTTTTCATCCTGCATCTAAGCTCATTAAGGCTGCCAAGCTTTTATAGGAAATTTAGCACTAAGCTCCCATGACTGATGCTTTGTGGTCTTTATCCAATGTAAAGAGTCTTAGGATACTGAATAGAAGAATGGATAATTTTCTTTAATTGGCTATAGAATAGCCAATTTAAGGGAACATCCCAAATACCATTTAGTATCTTTTCAAATGTACAAGTTATTTCTGTCCTGCTTCTCATTCTTTGTTAAAGTTGTTTAAATAAATGGCTTTTTTGTTCAATCAGGAAATTGTTACCCATTTTTCTAAAGGGAATTAATCTTTCAAATTAATTTTACGGTTATCTAGAAAGTTTTCATATTTAAGGTTAGATAAAATGTAAAACAAATACAGTGTTCTGCATGAATTCTCTTAAAGGAAAGTGCCATGTTGCATTTTTCATCCTTAAACTTCATTGTCTGAAAAGCAATCAAGTGTTGGGATATAGTTTTAAGGTAGTAAGAAAATGGATATTCTGAGAAATTGAGAGTTGACTTATTAATGTTTTCTTTAAAAAACAGTTTATATTCTCAATACATACACTCAGTTGTATTCTGGTAGTAGTAAAAAGAACTACGTTTAATAATAACACAAATGGTTTATCAATTAGCCTATCTTCTGAAGAGCTATACCCCTAAGTCTGGCAAGACCTCAAAGTATATCTTTTAAATATTTGAGCTTGCCTTCATGGGAATATTATTTGTTAGTATAACCATTTTTGGAAAGTCTAAACCAGTGTCCATTCAGTTAAGCTCTTTAGGAATTTCTCAAAAAAGGATAACAATAAAATGACACAGTTGAAATATATTGGCTACTGTGTGTGGATTATCTATAAATTTTGGAATAAATGACTTTTCTATTTTTTTTCTTATTTTCCAGAGTACTTTGCATTTAAATTTTAGATCTTCTTACATGGAAGAGGTCAAATCCAGTTATAGCAAAACACCTTTACAGCAGAGGCCATATAACCAAAAAGTCCAAAGGCCCAGCCCAGTGGACCATTTACTTCAATGATGTTCAGTACAAAATTCCACTGCCACTAAAGACTTTGGAAAGTCCCTTTTAAGTTGTAACAGGATTTGACTATTAGTGTGGATTTTGATAACCCTTCTTTAGTTAACTTAATGTTCTTTCAAGCTGCAATTTGTTATAGAAAAGTATATTGCTTTCTTAAGTTTTTGTCCGGGCTTTTATGAAGAGGATCGTGCTTCTGAATGTCTTAGTATGTTGCTGTCTTTTTACCTGTCTGGGGTTGCCTTCAGATGTGGGTGGGGACTCATTTGAAAAAAGTTCTAGGAAGACCTTTAGTTGAAGTTAGCTCTCCAATTTTCCAGTCCTTTCCTTTGGCAGAATAAGTTTTGGGCCTAAAAAGAGGTAGATTGGGAGGTTGGCTGCCTCTCTGCTGTGGGCCAAAAATAAAGCAATACTTTGTCCTTTTTGTGGGGGATGGAGTTACTTTTTACTTTGTCCTCTGATTGATTATATGTAGGACTTTTGATTATAGCTATCTCACAGAATTCTTTAGGCTAAGACATAGTGTAAGGTGTTCCAGACAACAAAGTTGGAATGTAATCTGTTGCCCTTCTGGGCATTGCTTTGATGACTTCTATATAAATAATGAGTGTAGCCTAATTTTCTGTCATGTGCTACCTAGCATATACATTTCTGACAGTCAGGTGGATTATCTTGAAATTTTAGACAAAGTTTCTGCCTCCTTGGAAAGCTCTACATCTCCTTGTGATTGGAGTGTGGGTTTCAAGATTCCAGAAGGTGGGTGTCTTCATTTTCTATTTTCAATGCACTCTAAGATGACCTGCTTACAGGTTCTCTGAGGCAGACTTCAATTGCTCTTGTGCTAACTTTGCTTTTGATAAGGACTAAACAGTTTAATTAAATTTTCCAAATGATGTAGAGTTGTCAAAATGTTTAAGTATCTTTTTAGCCACTACAAATTGACATTTTAGTGGAATATTATTTTGAAATGTCTTTCAATTTATATTGAAATATCTGAAGGCACCTCTAAAATTTGGGTGATGACACAGAGGTACAGATGGTAAGATTTAATTACAAAATGGATGGGTGGTATACTGTGAAAAAAAATGAACAGAAAGATATGACTGACTGGCTTTTTTACCTTTCAGAGTTTGAGATTTTATAAAGATTAATAAAGGTGATCCTTGTTTTTGATTGCACCCCACAGGCTTGTATAAACTGGCATGCTCCATTTTCTGGTGTACTCCTTGTAACTTTAAATAGAAAGTATGTGAAAAGGTCACAAAAATCTAGGTGTGTCGGAATGCATTTTATTGCATTAGTTTTATTGTGTGCCCATAATAAAAACCAAAATATTGATGCTTGTATGACCCTTTGAAGTATAAAATACTCATTCAGTATATGTATAAATTGGGTCAAAATGGCTCACGAAGGGAAATTAGTGTTTTTAATAAAAATATTTATATATGACCCACTTATTTAAATGTTAACATATTCTATGTAACTTTTATTACTGTGGCCAGTTATATATTGGTCAGAGATTTAAAAGTTCAGGTTTTGATCGTCTACCTCCCAACAAATGATTTCCTTGTTAAAGCTGTAACTGACTCTCAGGAGAGATCTTTATAGTTCCCGCTTTCAACAGATTGTCAACTGACTGCTGGCTGATTTTCAGTAGTAGAAGGCAAAGGTGGGGTGCTATTTACCTTACCTAGGAATTATTTTTCCATAGGTATGATTATGTATCATTGTATAATAGTAAAAATAGCAAGATAAATTTACAAAAAGATTAAAAGATTTCTGACCATAAAAGGAAGTATATTTTGGCAGTTTTTTAAACTGGCAAGATAATGTAATTTTTTTTCTTCTCAGGAGGAAAAAAAGCAAGAGCAGAAGTCGTAGTCATGAACGTAAAAGAAGCAAAAGTAAGGAACGGAAACGAAGTAGAGATAGAGAAAGGAAAAAGAGCAAAAGTCGAGAAAGGAAGCGAAGTAGGAGCAAAGAAAGGAGACGGAGCCGCTCAAGAAGTCGAGATCGCAGATTCAGAGGCCGCTACAGAAGTCCTTAGTATGTAACTATAATTATGATGATTTTGGTTCAAGAATCATTCTGAGTATCCAGAAAACAATTTAACCTGAGTAATTTGCCTTGTAAAATTTTGTTTTTCAATATTCTTAATTAAAAAGCATTAAATGAGGATATTGGCATTGAAAACACTAACAAATTAGAAATAGAGTGTGTGGACCAATACATAACTTTTGTTTTACTAGGCATACAGATTATTTTCTGTCATTCCGTCTAAAATATTTTAACTGTATGCCGGTCCAAATTAAACCAAAGCACTAGAGTGCTTAAAAGATTTGATATGGGTGGTAGTGACAAATATTTGAAAGCTTAAAAGTATATGAGCTATTTCAAATATTCTTTACTGAATATAAATTTAAAATTCTAAAGCTCAAATAGGTATGTTATAAATATGTATAATTAGTCAAATATTTAATTAATCTTGTCTGGCTGTTTTCAGCTGAAATGACAGACCCTTTGTGAATTTGATGTATGCTCCTTTATGATGATGAATTTTGGAGCTTATCACATTTATTTAAAAATCATAAAACACTAAAATGCTCTGAAACTATGGAAGTTTGAATGTACTTAACAAGTTGGAAACATATTTTACTCTAGTCATTTAAAAAAACATGTTTGGAAGGAATCTTACAAAACAAGGATTGAATGTAGCAGTCCTTAGAGCTTTACGATATTGTTCCCTCTTAATATGTTATTGTAAATAAACTGGGGGAGAGGTATTAAAATTAGCCTTGATAACTTGAATGGTTGAAGGTAAAATTCAAAGACACACACATCTGGGTAAGAGTCGACTCTTTCACGGGGACAAGTTAACACTAAACTTTGATTTGTTACCTTTTAAAAAAAAGGTAACAATTGACAAGTGAACTTAATGAGTATTGAATTGACAAGAGAATGAAAATAAAGGACCTACAATACTTCTATTCATGAAATGTTTGGGTATTATTTGAAGCCATTAAAGTTAGTAACACTTTGGGATTCTGATCCTGGCTCTTTAACCTTTAAAAAGGGGCGGGGGTGGGGTGGGGTGGGGGTTGGGGGTTGGATTGAACTTGTTTACTGAGTTCCTCATAGCTGCTTATTTCACAAAGCTTTTAAGAGCTGAAAGAGGACCACAATATTTTAGTTCTTACTGATTCTTTGTTTTTTTGTCTAATGTATTAAGATTTACCATATTCTTACGGAATTTAAATAGGAGGAAAAGGATCACCTTAATAAATTCTGTATACTATTTTGTCTCTTGAGTGATGCATACTTGAAGGCATCCTATAATCCTGGTCTGACTTAAAAATGATTTAGTTCTTATGTGTGATTTCATGTGATCTTTAATTTATTAATTGTGACTGTTAGTGTGAATTATGAAGGACCCATTTACTGTAAAATTTTATTTGGAGCTGCTTGGGTGTTGCAGGTATGAGTCCATAAAAAACGAGTCCAAACATTGATCACATACCACTTACTTTGATTTTGCTTCCCTTATTAAAAAGGAGAGTAGGATGAGCACTAAGGGACATATGACCTGTCCCTTTAAGTTAATTTGGTCTTTAAAAATAAAGCCCAAAAACTATTGGGCCCTTTTCTTTTCTTTTTTTTTTTTTCTTTTAAGATTTTACTTCTATATTCATGAGAGACACAGAGAGAGAGGCAGAGACCTAAAGCAGAGGGAGAAGCAGGCTCCATGCAGGGAGCCCAACACAGGACTCAATCCCTGGTCTCCAGGATTACACCTTGGGCCAAAGGCGCCGCTAAACTGCTGAGCCACCCGGGCTGCCCTGGGCCTTTTTTCAATTAAGAATAAAACTGGATCTTAGAATAATTTTATCATTTCTTTTGAAAACATTGATTTATTACATCAAGTTCACAAAACTTTTTGAAATATTAACTTTACATCTTTACTATGGAACATTTTGGCAGAAGTGAAGTATGACATGCAAACTGCTTTCATGCAGTCTCTGAGATTTACTGTTAAATTGAAAAGTTCGAGTTTTATGATAATAATTATAGTCCCCTTTTAAAAACTCAAACAAAAAAACCTCCTCAAACAAAACGTATGTATGAATGTTGTGTATGTACGTACATATAAATACATATATTCCTGGGAACAAATCTGCAAAGATACACACCAAATTGTTAATTGTAGTTACTTCTGGTGTGAGGGAAGTTGAGGGTGATTTATTTTCACTTTTTTAAATCTCAGGAATGTATTCAAAAACGTGTAATTAAGAAAATATAGACTAAACATGAAAGAATTTTCAGAATCTTAATATTGAGGCTGTAACCTTTGGTCTCGGCACCTCTCAGTGGTCCAGGATGGATAACTATAAGAGCAGTTTGCCTGGGATAGAGTTAAGAAAAAAAAGTCTTTTATTTCCTCTTCATAATTGAGGTGGAAAAAAATCAGCCTAAACAATGTTAAACTTGCTGGAGAGCGCATGAACGCGATCTTAGCAAGACCCTAACCCTGTAACTAGTGTAATTTTGTGTTTCCTTTTTAGCTCCGGACCAAAATTTAACAGTGCCATCCGAGGAAAGATTGGGTTGCCTCATAGCATCAAATTAAGGTTTTTAAACATACTTCTGAATTGTTTAAATTGTTTTTCAAGGAACTAATGTGATGTACTTGTTTGGGTAATTTCTGAAACTTTTTAACTTTGCAGCAGACGACGCTCCCGAAGCAAAAGTCCATTCAGAAAAGACAAGAGCCCCGTGAGGTAGCTGTTGTCCCTTTTTTTTTTTCTTTAGCACTTTGAGCTTTGGTAAAGCTTTTGCAACTTAATGCTAATGTCAAATTTATTAACATTTGGTAATTTGAACTATGTTAAATTAATGTGGATATGTAAGTTTTCATTTTAGTATCACATAACTAAGAATGGAGCAGTAATTAATGTGTAGATATATTTGCTCTTAAATCCCTTTAAAATTTAATGATTATAAAAAAATTAATGATTATAGAAAACTTTAAATAGACTTGACTCCACCTACTTTAGAATTAATAAATTGTGAGTTACTAAAATAGCCTCATGAGGAATTGATTGTAACAAATCATGAGTTATCATCTGGTTCTCTGGTGAGATAAAGTATTTAATTTCCAAAGTATTAACCAAATTGACTTGTTTCTAAGGAGCAATCTTATGTTTTTGAATGTTTGGGTTATTTTCCTCTTAAATAACCTTAAGACTTAACCTATCAAACCTACCATATATTTTGGTTCAGGGAAAACTAATATGTGGTAGCCTTGTTCATTACTGGTGTTCCTTTTGGCTTCCCTTAAAGGGTACCTTTTAATTTAGAGTTTGTTATTTGGTGTATTCTAATTCTAGGATTTGATGAAAACTAATGATTTTAAAGGCTCCTTTTTGGAACATTGAGCTTTTTTACTCTTAATATTTAATTTAACACTTAAAAGAAAATTCTCCATCTCATTTTCTGGTTGTGGTCTTTGCTTTGTAACTTTTATAGTTTAAAATTACCTACTTAAAATAAAATAAAATAACCTGATTCATCAAGGAAATGTGTCATAATTTTCTAGGTGGAATATTCCAAAATAACTTCTGAAAATGTCCAGAATGTATTATGCTTTTATGTTAAGGATTAACTTACAACCTTAACCTTAATGATGTTCTATAATAAGTAATGTTAATAGAAACTAATATTTTTTCCTTGAAATGAATGAAATTAAGTTATATCTCATATGCTCTTTACTTGGGCACTTGAGTTTCCTACATACAATCAGTAGTGCCCTCAATCTTCAAGATTCTTTGTAAAAATGAATAAATTGAATCCCACTACTGGTATTTGTCTAGATAATACTTTTAATTTTTGTTTTGCGTATGGATATTTCTGTGTTTTATAACCATCAAGAAACATTGCTTTTTGGATACTAAATTGGTAGTCTTATAAGACTGAGTAAATGACCAGGTCACTATTCCATATATCTAAAATTGTTAAATAAAAGTTCAGAGGGAAAAATCAAAATAGTTCTCTCATCTCAGGTTTGTCATTTGTGATTGTCAAAGTAAAATCACATCATGATTTTAGATTTTGCTTTAGAAAATCATCCTTTCCACTAATTTTAGAACATTTTGACATTGTAGCTAGTTAGTGGTTATTTTTAGTGATGATTTTTAAACTCTCAGGCTTCTGATTGGTCTTTTATTATTCTGCAGAAATTACCATTTACAAGATTGAAATGCCAATGGACTTTTGTCCTGACACCATGTTAAGATATTAGTAGAAGAAACATGTGCAACTATGATCTTGTTGAGGGAATTGAGTCACCAAATTATTTTATGAACATTTTGTATAAATCTTAAGTGAAATAGTGGGAATAGTGACAAACTACTTCTGGTAAAGTTTATTCTGTTTATTGAAAATGAATATTATGAAGTTATTTTAAGAAAACAATTTATAAAATATTTTAATATTTATTCCTGTTAGGGAACCTATTGATAATCTAACTCCTGAGGAAAGAGATGCAAGGACAGTTTTTTGCATGCAGCTGGCAGCAAGAATTCGGCCAAGGGATTTGGAAGAGTTTTTCTCTACAGTAGGCAAGGTAAGGTTTTAGTCTGTTTAGGGAGATAGAGCAAATGGGAATTGGTGAACATTTTAATAATTATCAATATGTTAGGTTAAATTAGAGAATTTTTTTTATTTTTTGAATTTTTTCAAAGAGAGATGCAGAAACATATAGGCAGAGGGAGAAGCAGGCTCCATGGAGGAAGCCTGATGTGGGACTGAATCCTGGGACTCCTGGATCTCTGCCTGAGACAAAGGCAACACACTCAACTGCTTAGCCACCCCAGGCTTCCCAAATTAGAGAACATTTAAACACCAAGTCTTTTGATACAGGAAAATTCAGTTAGGGAAGCTTTTGGGTGACATTTCTATTTTGACTCAGAAGTTATAATAATGTTGGAATTAATAACCTATTATCACACGTTCATCAAAAGTAGAAGGGGATTGACAAGTTACTTAAAACATGGGCACCTGGCTGCTTCAGTCCAAAGAACATGAGACTCTTAATCTCAGGGTTGTGGGTTCATGGCCCATGTTGGGCATAGGCATAACTTAAACCACGGTGTCAGTTAAAAAAATTTTTTTTTAATTGGTTTTACAGATGTTGCATAAGGAGAATCTTGTTAAGTGTGTGTTTTCTTTTAAGGTTCGAGATGTGAGAATGATTTCTGATAGAAATTCAAGACGTTCCAAAGGAATTGCATATGTGGAGTTTGTGGATGTTAGCTCAGTGCCTCTAGCAATAGGATTAACTGGCCAACGTGTTTTAGGAGTGCCAATCATAGTACAAGCATCACAGGTAATTTTTTTCCTTTTTTAGGAATTTGATTAGTGTGATAGTCTAAGAAGACTGCTGTTGCTTAGTATTACACCGTAGTACTTTAGTATGTAATCATTACTACCTTCATTTAGATCTTCTTAGAACAGCTTTTTTTTATTATTAACTTTATCTTCGTTATTTCGATACCATATATTCTTAACAGCATCCTATATATATATATATTATATATATATAATATATATATATATTTTCTAAGATTTTATTTATTCACTCATGAATGACACACACACACAGGCGCAGAGACACAGGCAGAGGGAGAAGCAGGCTCCATGCAGGGAGCCTGATGCGGGACTGGATCCCGGGACTCCAGGATCATGCCCTGGGCTGAAGGCAGGTGCTAATCTGCTGAGCCACCCAAGGATCCCCCTGTTCTAATACAAGTTGTAAATCTGTTTCATGAAAAAGACCTGAGAACTTGGTCTAGAATTTTAATGATTTGTGATGATTTATTGGATGGGGATAGAAGCATTTAAGAATTTGTTTACCCTTTAAAATAGTTATTTTTGACATTTTTAATCAATGTTTAATTACAAATGTTTTCACTATTTTATAATACACAGTAGTATAAGATTTTATAATTTTTTTTTTTTTTAAGATTTTATTTATTCTTGAGAGAGAGAGTCAGAGACACAGGCAGAGGGAGAAGCAGGCTCCATGCAGGGAGCCTGACATGGGACTTGATCCTGGGTCTCCAGGATCATGCCCTGGGCCTAAGGCGCTAAACTGCTGAGCCACCCGGGCTGCCCTATAAAATGTTATAATTAGTTCGAATAGCTATCCTGTTTAGCATTTCTTGAAGGTAAGATGTTTTGAACTAATTTTGAGAATAATCTGTTTAGTTCCTCTTTGCTGGTACTTCATAGTAATTCAGTATTGCCTTTGAAATGAAATTAGTGTTACTAATGTTTATTTAAATGTGGAAAAATTGGAATGTATCATTCTATGATATGAAAGCATTTTTAGGATTCTTTGTCAATACCTATTTTTATTAAGACAGTCATTGATACCTGTCATGCTTGATAGCTCAGGGTTTTTTTTTTAATGGAGAATATAAGATTTATTTATGTATGTATTAAAAGATTTTATTTATTCATGAGAGAAACAGAGAGAGAGAGGCAGAGACCTAGGCAGAGGGAGAAGCAGGCTCCGAGCATGCAGGGAGCCTGATGTGGGTGGGACTCGATCCCGGAACTCCACAATCACATTCTGGGCTGAAGGCGGCGCTAAACTGCTCAGCCACCCGGGCTGCCCAAGAATATAGGATTTAAATATTCTTGCAATCCAAGATGAAATAGTCTGTTGATTGATACTGTGTAACTTCTAAACTGGTTACTTCATCAACCTTAAATGATTTTATAAAGTTAAGTTCTAAATATTGGGTGTTTTTCACTTGAATGTGTATACACAATAGGAAAGTAATTGTTAGGAAATGGGAAAGATTAATTCCTTGATTCACTTCCTGCAATGGAGGACAAATTTAATGGTGTGTAGATCAGCCTGAAAAAGGCTGAGGATCCTCAAATTAAATGAATTTATGATTAATTTAATTTTAACCCTTTTTTTAAAAAAGATTTTATTTTTTCATGGGGGGGCACAAACACAGGCGGAGGGAGAAGCAGGCTCCATGCAGGGAGCCTGACATGGGATTCCATCCCAGGCCTCCAGGATCACACCATGGGCGGAAGGCGGAGCTAAACCTCTGAGCCACCTGGGCTGCCCACCACCTTTGGATATATACTGCTCAAAATGTTTCGGTTTGTTAACAAGAAGGAGCTTGTAGTAAAATATGAATTGATAAATACTATCTTTGAGAAAAACTTCCAATGGAAAAGATGACAGCTAAACTGAAAACTTTGATTTGATTTTATATTGACATAAAAAAACCCTTATGGCAGCAGCAATTGGTGTATTGTAGTTTGAGTAACAGTGATTTTGAGGTGTTAATTTTAATGAATATCGAATAATTTATGAATTCCAAAAAATAGTGTTAATTTCCATATTTACCATGATCTGATATCAGGATGCATCTCATTTAGATGGCATAGTGTACTTTTAGTATTGATTTCATTTTATGTAGGAAATGAGGTATATGATTGTTTAACATATGACTTGTATATGCTCATAAAACTTAAAAGTTGCTGCAAAATATGTATCTTATATTAAATAAAATATTGAGGTTTATGGTTAGAAAATGGCATTTGAACCATATTCTTAATTCGGTGCCATTAATCACGGTCACATATAAGTGGAACCATACAAAAGCTTTTTTGTGTATGACTTGCTAAAGAGTGTGTTTTCATCACTTTTCGTATCACTTGTCATTAAGCAAACCTGAATGAGATTTACTATGATTAAAATGTTTTGGATTAGTGTGTGATGTCCATTTTGTCTTATCCAACTTATAGGCAGAAAAAAACAGAGCTGCAGCAATGGCAAATAATCTACAAAAGGGAAGTGCTGGACCTATGAGGCTTTATGTGGGCTCATTACACTTTAACATAACTGAAGATATGCTTCGGGGGATCTTTGAGCCTTTTGGGAGAGTAAGTCGCAGTATCTCCAATTATCCTTAATTGGTTCTTGATCCAAGTATAATTGCATAGTAAATAATAGTCACAAAATTAATGTATTCCTGAAATTAATACAACATGAAGAACTGTAGTATTGACTACTGTATTTTTTCATGCTATGAATGAACAGCTTTATTGAGGTACTGTGATGTACCCAAGTCATATAGTTCACAGTTGATTGCCTTTTTTTTTTTTTAATTTTTATTTATTTATGATAGTCACAGAGAGATAGAGAGAGAGAGGCAGAGACATAGGCAGAGGGAGAAGCAGGTTCCATGCACCGGGAGCCTGACGTGGGATTCGATCCCGGGTCTCCAGGATCGTGCCCTGGGCCAAAGGCAAGCGCCAAACCGTTGCGCCACCCAGGGATCCCCGATTGCCTTTTAATGTATTGACAGTTGTGCAGTGATCAACTACATTGTGTTGATTTTATTAAGATTTTTTAAAGATTTATTTATACATTTGAAAGAGAAAGGGTGGGCGGGGTATTGGGGAAAGGCAGAAGAGAGACTGTCTCAAGACTGAGCGTGTAGCCTGAGGCAGGGCTTGATACATCAACCCTGAGATAATGAGCTGAGCTAAAACTAAGAGTTAGACATAACTGACTGCCACCCAGGCACTCCTATTTTTTAAGACTTTTAAAAGTCATCTGTACACCCACTATGGGGCTTGAATCCACAACCCTGAGACCAAAAGTCGCCATGCTTTCCTGACATAGCCACCTGATACCCCTGCTTAATTAATCCAACATCTTGGATAATTTAACGTATCTAGTACTAATTAGAATTAATGTTTCGTATTTTTCATATAATGGAAAGGAAACAATTTTATTTCTTACACCTGATTGTAGTTTACAAAGGACATCTGGAGTTTTAGTGGTTTGTTTTTGAGGCAAAAGACTAAGATTGTACTTTTTTTTCTATGCTCCACAGTGCATAGCTTCTTGTTTGGGTAGTGTCTAGGCTTTCAGAGGTTTTTTGGAAATAAGGGTTTTTGATGGTCTGTTTTTGTTTTTTAGGGGAAAAAGAATAAAATGCTTTTGTTTCCTTCTTTGCACTTAATAATTGTTTTTATTTTTAGATTGAAAGTATCCAACTCATGATGGATAGTGAAACAGGTCGATCTAAGGGATATGGATTTATTACGGTAAGCAATTATCATTAATACTATCACTTAAATGATTGTCTTTAAGGTTTTGTGTATTTAATTTTACGAATTTATTTATTCATGAGAAACACAGAGAGGCAGAGACATAGGCAGAGGGAGAGGGAGAAGTGGGCTCCATGCAGGAAGTCCAATGCTGGGACTCAATCCTGGGACTCCAGGATCATGCCCTCAACCAAAGGCAGACGCTCAACTGATAAGCAACCCAGGCGTCCCTAACTTTAAGGTTTAAAAATTTTTTTTTTAATTTATTTATTTATGATAGTCACAGAGAGAGAGAGAGGCAAAGACATAGGCAGAGGGAGAAGCAGGCTCCATGCACCGGGAGCCCGACGTGGGATTTGATCCCGGGTCTCCAGGATCGTGCCCTGGGCCAAAGGCAGGCGCCAAACCACTGCGCCACCCAGGGATCCCAACTTTACGGTTTTAGATCAAAGTACCATAGTAAAACTTTATTCGTTGTTCATAATGGGGAAGGGTGCATGGTTAATATTTTTAAATGGTTTAGAGTAATTGTAGCCGTGTTTACCAAATGTTGCCGTTTCGCCAGTTTTCTGTTATCTTGTTTATAGTCCATTTGCATAGCTAAGTCTTCATGTAATTGAAGTTTATGACCCCATTATGAGTTCTTTAGTTTGTAATATTTTTATATGTTATTAAAAGTGTGTGTTGGTGTGGTGCACCTGGATGGCTCAGTTGGGTAGACATCTGACTATTAATTTCACCTCAGATCATGATTTCTGGGTCCTGAGACCCAGCCCTGCCTTGGGCTCTACACTGGGCATGGAGTCCGCTTAAGATTCTCCGTCTCCTGTTGCCCCTCTCCCTACTCATCATGCATGTTTTCTCATTTAGATAAATAAAATCTAAAAAAAAAGTTTGTGATTGGCCATTGCAGCCCATTGATTGAAGAGAGTATTAGGTGGCAGCAGGAATAATTGCAAATTTAAGTGCCTCTTTTAAAGTAAACTCTCTTATGTTTTATTTACAGATGGAATTCAATTACATGATAGCAATTTTTCAAATGTTCAGTGTTAGAACTTTGGAAGGTTCTGAAAATTGTTAATTGATACTGTAAATGCAGATTGTCACTTTAGCTGCTGTCATAGAAAAAAGTTATATAGGTCCTAGTTCTTTTTTTGGGGGGGGGGGTCCTAGTTCTAATCAAGGAATTATAATTGTGTTATATTTAAATTTTGTGTGTGTGTGTTCTGTCTAAATTTTAATAAAATTTGGGGCGCCTGGGTGACTCAGTAGGTTAGGCATCTGACTCATAATTTCAGCTGAGGTCATGATTTCAGGGTTGTTAAGATCGAGGCTTGCATCTGGATCTACACAGTGTCGAGCCTACTTCAGATTCTCTCTCTCCTCCCCATTCAAAAAAAATCTTCTTTAGTGATAGAGGAAGTTTTATTCGTTTTTATTTATTTATTCATGAGAGACACAGGCAGAGGGATAAGCGGGCTCCTTGCAGAGAGCCCTATGTGAGACTTGATCCCCAGACATGGGATCATGTCCTGAGCTCAAGGCAGATGCTCAACCGCTGAGCCATGCAGGCATCCCATTAAAAATGTTTTTAACATCAACTATGCAAACTATTTACTACTATTTAGTAATCTGTGTAATGCTAGATTATGTACATTTACATTGTGCTGTTTGTTGGTTAATTTTTTTGTAAGGATCTGTAATTTTTCCTTCCTAAATAAAATGTTTTTAAACACATTGATGAAAAATACTAAGCTATGGAATTGCTAGGGATATATTTTTGTTTCCATTAAATGAAAATAAGAGTGTGCAACTAAATTTTGTTTGCATCCTGAATATTAAGAATTTTCACAGTTTGGGCACCTGACTTACTCAGGGATCACCTCCTGAGCTGAAGGTAGATGTTCAACCACTGACCCACCCTGGCATGCTAGGAAAAAACATTTTTATGATTTTATTGGTAGTAAGATGACCCAGAATGTTGTATGAAAAGTAGTACCTGAGTGAACTTTTAATTTTTTAAATAGTTCGTTTGTTCTTTCTCCTTCCTTCTGTCAGCACAGGGGACTGCCAGGGAAAGGAAGAATCAGGCTCCTTGCTGAGCTGAGAGCCTGACTTGGGGCTCCCTCCAGGACTCTGAGGTCATCACCAGGAGAGTGCCAGGGAAAGGGAGAAGCAGAGAAGCAGGCTCCTTGCTGAACTGAGCCTGACTTGGGGTTCCCTCCCAGGACCCTGAGGTCCTGACCTGAGCTGAAGGCAGATGGTTAACTGAGCCACCCACATGCTCCCAAATAGTTGTTTATTTATGGAAGGAAAACACCATTTTAGTTTATCCCAGGACATTTAAGGAGATGCATTTTTATTTTTGGAAAATTACACATTCTGTTACTAAGATTATTTCTGAAGATAGGCATTACTTAGTCATATTTTGCTTTTTAAATCCTCACATAACAAAGCTGATTTGAATCAGCTTTTGTGATCTGATAATATAGCTTATATTACTTAAAAGCTAGAATATCCACTTTACTTTGCATCCAATTGTGTACTTATTGATGAATATACTAGACCAAATAAGTAAGAATTGCTTTACCTTACATATATGTGATTTAACATATGGGACTTTTTACTTTTATCCCTCATTCAATTATACAGTTTTCCGATTCAGAATGTGCCAAGAAGGCTTTGGAACAACTTAATGGATTTGAGTTAGCAGGAAGACCAATGAAAGTTGGTCATGTTACTGAACGTACTGATGCTTCCAGTGCTAGCTCATTTTTGGACAGTGATGAACTGGAAAGGACTGGAATTGATTTGGGAACAACTGGTCGTCTCCAATTAATGGCAAGGCTTGCAGAAGGTAAGTTTTTCCTAGTGTTGTGAATCATTTATTGTGGATATGGTAATGAGAAAGGTAGCCCACTTACATAAACTAATAAATGAAAAGGGTGTTTTTCTATTTTTGGAGTTGACCGCCTTGTGTGGTTTATGCACTTTCATATGGAATTACTTGCTTTAAAGTTCTAATGGAATCTAATTTATGCCTTTTGAGTGCCACAGCATACATTATAAGATTCCTTTTGCTTTATCATAATAATTCCATTCTTAAAGTTGAAAAACTTAGTTACCACTATTATACTATGTTCTGCTTGTAAATACTTTTAGCGAAGTGACTTTGGTGTGGTAGTAAGGACCCAGAAAACTTAGTTTTTCTGCCCTTGACATAATGCAAGTTACAAGATCTGGTTTTTTTTTTTTACACAGGTACAGGTTTGCAGATTCCACCAGCAGCACAGCAGGCTCTACAAATGAGTGGCTCTTTGGCATTTGGTGCTGTGGCAGGTAGGAATTGAATCTTTTCTAATTTGAAATCATTGTTTTTTCACTAATTCGAAAATTTGCCAAATTTTTGCATTTAAAAGGACTTACTGAGAATTCAATTCATCAAGTACTTCTTAGCTTGTAAATAGAATTATTCACTCATAATAGGCTGTCAGGGCATTTTTTTGAACCCTACATACCAATTTTTAGTTTGAATTGCCTAAATTAGACCTTTTTAAGTACATCACTTTTAAAACCCCAACAACTTTATATTAATTTCAAAAAATGTTTTCTTGTGATGTTTGAGTTCAGAAAACTATCAGGGGCCTTTAAGTCCAGTTTTAGGTAAAATACTTAACACTATCGAGAATGTAAAGAAAACTGCTTTCCTCTAAATAGTACATGCTATTTTGAGTTTTTTAGTTAGGGTAATGGGCCCTCCTAAAGAGGGCAGGAAAATAGAGTACAGTTGTGTAACAAGGGGCTCAGTTTATGAACCTTTTTTTTTTCATTATGACTTAAGTACCTCAGATTTGCTTTTATAAACCTTGATGCTAACCCAAATCTATGAGCCTAGGATAGCATTAATTTTAAAATATTGAAGACCTTGCTGTTATAACATCTAAGAAGAACCATTTGCATTTGGACTTTGGAAGACAGGAAATACAAATCTGAAGAAGTCTGGCACTTTGTATTTTTAATCAGTCCATTGATTTTATCAACAAAATGAGATTTAAACTGAAAATATGTAAGTTTTAAGACCATAGTGCTACACTGAAATATATATAAATGTTCATGTGGTTGAGTCGTGATTTCCTTTTAAATCAAAAACTCATTAATGAAAGGGAGAGGATCATTTTTTACTTTCACGTCATATTTCATTAGAGATCAGGGACTTTTCAGTGTTTTCCTTTTAGTGGATATCCACAAGTTTGTGACTCACTTTAGAAAATCTGCCTTTTGTGTTTCTCCTGTCAGATTCTATTATTTATTTTGAAATCTGATAGGTATTTATAAAGTTTCTGAGAAAACTGGGGCACCTGGGTGGCTCAGTAGGTTAAGCCTCCATCTTTTGATTTCAGCTCAGGTTATGATCTCAGGGTCATGAGATCCAGCCCCAGGTGGTCCGGCTCCACACTGGGCATGGAGTCTCTTTGATAATCCCTCTGCCCCCCCCCCCCCCATGCATGTGCGTGTGCTCTCCCGCTCCCTCTCTAAATAAATATATCTTTAAATTTTTTTTTTTCTGATAAAACCATGCCAGTTTATCTTTATGGGGAAAAAGTCTAAACCATTAATGGATTTCTGTGTCTTGAGTCACGGGATAACTCCCCCAGTATCCCTAAATTTTGACTGTATAAATAATATTATACACCTAATTTCTTGAGTGACCAAATAGCCATAGAATGCTGCTTACTATAATCAAAGCCATTAAAGGAACCCATCCCTTCCAGAGATGTAACCCAGTTTATGGTTTTAAAATTACAATTTAATCTGAAAACTAAATCTTCCTATTGCTTCCCATTGTTCAGATCATTTTTTCAGTAATTTAGAAAATGCTTGTTTACCATATTCTAGGTATTTCACTTAGAGGCTCTGAGTTATTTGCTGTTTTCAGAGATTTGATGTAGTAACATAGGATTCATTTCTAAACAGTCTTATGTTATATCCTGGGTGTGGTATCCTATATGTTGATTTGATGTTCTTCATAAACAACATCCTCACCTAATTGAAGATTTTTGAAAGTTAGTATTCTCAACTAATATTTCTGGATTCATGATGTATGGCTCACCTTCTTGGGCACACTTATTGTGCGGTTTATATTTAAGGTGGGCTGACTGTGATCAAATAAAACTCAAATTGGTTATAAATAGCTAGTTACTGATATTGTTATATTCACCCTTATTTATGTCTCTTGAGATGATTATAAAGTTTGATTCTGTCTTCTAACCCTTCCTGTAGATTGCTTTTGCAACCAAATTAATAATGGCTCGATTTTTAGGTAAATATTTCTAAATAACTCAGTATTTTTTTCCAGATAGTTACCATTAAATCCTCACACAATTTTTTTTGAAATGCTATAAAGAATGTTAATGTGCCCCAAAACCCTTACTCCTAAGTTCTTTAAGGCTGTTTTTTTTTTTTTTAAACCAAGGGTAAGTCATCACTCTATCCACTAATTTATTTTAGAAGGTTAACAAGTGGTTTCTAAGATAGAATCCTTATCTTTATGAAAGCCACGCTTTCTTTCCTAACTTCTCACAAATGACCTGTAAAGTCACTTTTTAAGTCTTGATAGGGGATTTACATATACTTGAAATAGCATGGATTATGGGTTTTTTTTTAGCTTTTATTTATTTAACTAATCTCTATATCCAACGTGGGGCTTGAACTCGACCCTGAGATCAAGAGTGTCATGTTCTTCCTATTGAGGCAGCCAGGCATCCCATAGGATGGATTTTTGGTATCTTATACCTTTTTTCCTATTGTAGGGAAAGAAAAGACAAATTGTGTTATAATTTAAAGTTTATTGACAGTGTCTCTATGGATATATCTTCACATTCCTTTAGTATATACTAATTATGTCTCTTCAACTCCCAGATAGCAGTTTTGAGCCCCTAGGACACAGGTATTTTTGTACCCCAGCATAACTTGGGGTACTGATCCCTTTTCCTTTTTGCCACCCTCCCCCCATTTTTAGATTTTATTTTTAAGTAATCTCTACAATCCAACGAGGAGCTTGAACTCAAAACCCACATTGACTGTCACAGTCCACTCACTGAGCATGCCAGGTGCCATTTTTGCCTAATTAAGAAACCTAGACGATGATAAACTTTTGCCCTTGAAACACGTGTTAATGAAAATTAGGTTACTGGATCTAAACAATTTTTAATTGTATTTTTATAGCTTGTAAACTTAAAGATAGCACAATGGTATTTATTTAGCCTTGCTGCTTTCACTGCCAAGCAGCTTTCTGTTAACTTCTAGTGGTGAATTTAATGATTATATGGGGAAATATACTGGGAAAAATCCCCATTCTATTTATTTTTAATAGTTATTTTGTTAAATTTTTGTAGTATTATATAGATAATAGTAAACTTGGTTAAAATTTACTCCTACTTCATTAAATTTCCAGACTATGCCAAGAAACCATACCTTATTAAACTATTATCTTCTCGGCCAGAGTTGAATAGCCCAAGTACTTGGAATTGAATTCTCAAGATCAGGGTTTTCATGGATTTTCTGACCGGTGTGCTTCCCTTTCCCCATTTCCCATTATTCCCATGTGAAGAGTAGTAGTATAGAGGAATCCATTGGAGACGTGGAAGAGTAACTAGGAGTAGGAAGACAGGCATAAGTTAAGTTTCCTAGGATAGGAGGAAAGAAAAAGGCCCCAAAGCCTTGTCAATGAGGAATGGGGAAGGAGGTTTGGCTGCCAGGTTTTACTATAAGTTTATTTTGATGAACCCTGCTATGTAGTCCTCTTTTATTAATGCTTTCCTGACATTTACCCTGTTAGTTGAGGCTCTTCATTGTTCCTGCACTGAGCTGTAGAATTCTCTTTTGTTATAGATTTGCAAACAAGACTTTCTCAACAGACTGAAGGTGAGTTGAGCTTTTTATTTGTCTTTGAAGTAGATGTCAATTTAGCAACACATAGTTTTTTAATTATATCACTTAGTACATTTTGTATTTTTGGTTTTTGGAGAATGGCATAATATGGTAAATACATAGTTAACCTAATGTGTATTTCAGTCAGCCTAATCCAAATCATTACAATTCCATGGATTAAAGAAAATGAAAATGTGCATGTGCATTTTTTTTTATTTGGCTTTAGTATGCTTAGAATTATTTTTACCCTTGTATTAAGTCAAAATGGAATTTGTTGTTTTAGTATACAAATCTTTCAGGAGTCTGAACTTACAAGGTTAAGGACTCTAAATTCATGATTTGTATCAATAGTACCAAGCAATGTGGCAATTATACAGAACTAAATTGCATGCATATTTCAAAGAGATTGAAAATGTATCTAAAGTAGGCTATTTTCTCTTGTTTTTTATTGCCAAATCTCTGCCATTTGTTCTGATCACTTTGCTATTAATTCAGTATCCATCTTTCATGCGTTGTCCTTAAAGGTTATTTAGGAGAATGATTCTATATGAAAAGGTCTACCATGTTCCTTCATAGGAATTAAATGTAGGGGCACTGGGTGGCTCAGTGGTTGACCCATCTGCCTTTGGCTCAGGTTGTGATCCCAGAATCCTGGGATCAAGTCCCGCATCAGGCTCTCTACGGTGAACCTGTTTTTCCCTCTACCAGTGTGTCTACTTCTGTGTCTTTCATGAATAAATAAAATATCTTTTTAAAAAAAGGGATTAAATGTATATTTTATTTTTCCAGCAAGTGAGACAAGTACTCAATCCTTTTTTTCCTCAACAGATTTATAAAAGTTGAACTAATAGATTTTTTTCTATTAGTTGTTTTTATGCTGAATTCATTGTGCTTTGCATTCATTTAGTTTGAGCTGGAACCTTCCTATCACATACTTTCTAAAACTTTTATCTTTTTTTTAGTCCTAATATAGTTCATTTGAGAAAATGGTTGAAAATAAAGTACTCTCCAATTGTTTTGTAATGACCTAGGATTTATTTCCAAGAAAATGTCCATCGTTTATGATAGTGTACACAGTGGGCCTCATTTTTACATTTATTGTAAGATAAACATAGTTACATCTTTCGCTTTTCTGAATAGAATATGATGTTACCTTTTTTTGGCATTTTTATTTTAATATAAGCTTCATGAAAAAAATGTTTATTTGAAGTAATAAAGGAGCAGCCAAAAGCACTAGTAATTCTAACAAATCATCATTTTTATGACATATTTCATGCATAGCCCTAATTTTTACTCAGTAAAATAATTTCTGATATTTCCTCAGGTGATTGTTCATTTTAATTACCATAATTTCTAATGCACTGTTTTATCCTTAGCTTTGTTTGTTATATATTGGAATGAAATTTGATAGTGATTACGGTGAGTTCTGTAACAGCTACTGGTAATGTTTTGTGAATCACATGCAACGGTGCTGCTGTCTTGGACAGTGCTCTCACTTCAAACTGAAAACCAGTATGGGTTTTAAATATTCCTTCTGGATATTAGTGTCCAGTAGTTTTTAATTTTTCATAGTATTATAGATTTATGCTATTTTTGTTTTGTGCCAAGACAGACTTAGTCATTTAAAAAATATTCATTTGATTTTGTAAGAGGGTTTATATTCCTGGGATATTAAATTTTAAATGGTTGGATGATTATCTGCATCTTGTTAAACAACCCTTTTATAATGTTTATTTTAAAGAAAATGTTTAATTGTATTCATGGGAAGAAACCTAAAAGATTATATTTTGATCATCCCCTGCTGCTTGTGTATAAACTTGAGCAGTTAAATCAATCTTTTATTTTATCCTTTGCCTTTCTGGATTGATTTGTATTGATATTTGTCTAATTGAATGAGTTTTGATTACACCTGAAGTTTAATTTCCCATCTAAAACTACAGATTCCAACTCATTCAAGAAAAGCTGTTTCAAATGTTAGGTTGCTTCAGTTTACTGGAAACTCAAGTTGGTTACACACTTTGATAGCATTAGTAAATAAGGTAAATTAGGGAAGTGACCGATCATCCTAATTTCACAGATAGGGTTTAGTGGGGTTTTTTTATTTTGTTTTACTCAACAGGGCTAGTCTGATGCATTTTCCATGAAACTAATTTCTCTCTCTTTTTTTTTTATTTAGCTTCAGCTTTAGCTGCAGCTGCCTCTGTTCAGCCTCTTGCAACACAGTGTTTCCAACTTTCTAACATGTTTAACCCTCAAACGTAAGTAATAGACTTTGGTCAAGTTGAAAATGGTATATACCATTGGCACTTAAACAATGTGAAGGTTAGGGGGGCAGACCCATGCCTGCACAGTCAAAAATTCATATTGTAAATTTTGACTCCCTTAAAATCTTAACTGTAAGAGCCTATTGTTGATCGAAAGCCTCATAAATAGCATAAACAGTCGATAAACACAATCTTGTAAGTTACATGTCTCACGTAGCACATTCATACAATAATGTAAAGTACATTTATAGTATTATAGTGGTTTTTTATTTTAGAAAAATACAAGTATAAATGGACTTGTCCATTGAAACCCATGTGATTTAATGGTTTCAACTACTATGAAAATATTAATATTCAGCTTTTCTAAGTTAACATTTAGTATGCTTCAATATATTTCACAGTTCAAATAAGTTTTGATCATTTTAGGGTATTTAATGATAACTTTATTATTGCTAATTTCTTTTGGTGTGTTTTGAGATTTGAAGTAAAGGGTAGACAGATTTTGTTTTCCAACGATATCTAAGAAGTTTTCTATCAGTGTTACTTGTAGTTTACACACATTGTGTTATGTTAATTTCTGGCTCTTAACAGTTGTTCTTCCAACTATACCTTATTCTATGCTCACTATAGTTGTAGTTCCTATCACCATACAAGGCTATTATGAACCACTGACTATATTCCCTATCCTGTACTTTTCATCCTGTTGATATACTATTTCTGTACTAGTAGCCTGTGTTACTTCCCACTCCCTTTCACCCATTTATCCATCCCTACACCCTCCTCTCTGGCAGTCACCATTTTGTTCTCTATGGGTCTATTTCTTTTTGTTATGTTTGTTCATATGTGTGTTTGTGTTTATTTCTATTGTCAGTTTTATCGTCTACCACTTGTTGGCTTTGAAATTTTAATGTTATTTTAATCTTCTGTAGGAATAGAGCATCTTCTAAAATTTACTTCTTAGGGATCCCTGGGTGGCGCAGCAGTTTGGCGCCTGCCTTTGGCCCAGGGCGCGATCCTGGAGACCCGGGATCGAATCCCACGTCGGGCTCCCGGTACATGGAGCCTGCTTCTCCCTCTGCCTGTGTCTCTGCCTCTCCCTCTCTCTCTGTGTGACTATCATAAATAAATAAAAAAATTAAAAAAAAATTTGTAAAATTTACTTCTTAGATTAATGCAGGCCAGGAATCAGGAATTTCTCTTTCCTGATACCTAGGCACAATGATTAGAATGCCATTTATCTTTCCAAACTCTTCTGGTTGGTTTTATCAATTATATTTATAATACATTCCAAAGGAAATGTAGATATCCTGTTTAGTTGATTTGATGAATTATATGAAACATTGTCTTATACAGTGATGTTTTCTACAGTGGTTTGTAACATGCTGTTTGCATTGTTTATATTAATACATGGTTTACCATAGGGAGCCTTGGATTCTTGTGCACTTTTTATTTTAGCTTCGTCTGTGAAATGATGAACTGTTGGTATACATATGATTTGATATGTATGAATAAATACTTTAAATATTAAAGAAATTCATAAGCTGGGGTGCCTGGATGGCTCACTTGGTTAATTAAAAATTCATAAACTTTCTTGGAAATAGTGCCTTATATCTTGCTTTTAATTTCCTTCAGTATCCTACCCTGCTAATGTCAATGATTTTTAAATTAAGTAAAAGAATTCATATTTAAAATATTTATATAGTGAGAATATATATAACATTTTATAAGTTTTAGTGATATCTAATAAAGCTTAATACTTTTTTTTTACAGAGAAGAAGAAGTTGGATGGGATACAGAGATTAAGGATGATGTGATTGAAGAATGTAATAAACATGGAGGAGTTATTCATATTTATGTTGACAAAAATTCTGCTCAGGTATTTTATTTGTTTTCCCTGGAGCAAAAGAAGTTTAATCTGCCCTTTACCCACCTCACTTCAGGTGTTGTGACACTATGTTACTAATTTTTTATGATTTAGCCTTCGTGCATACTTGAGTCATGTTACTACTATCCTAGGAAGTTTTTTTTTTTTTTTTGTTTTGTTTTTTTTAATTTATGATAGTCACAGAGAGAGAGAGAGAGAGGCAGAGACACAGGCAGAGGGAGAAGCAGGCTCCATGCATCGGGAGCCCGACGTGGGGATTCGATCCCGGGTCGCCAGGATCGCGCCTTGGGCCAAAGGCAGGCGCCAAACCGCTGCGCCACCCAGGGATCCCCGGAAGTTTTTGTTTTTTAATTCTGAAAGAAATTTTAACATACTAAATATACATTCTCCAAAATAAGGACACTCCTTTAATAAGTGAAGATAAAATCAGGCCATGCTGTAGCAGTGTTGCTGGTTAGTGTTAAAAGCTTTCCATGAAAACCTGGCATCTTGATTCATGTTTTAGTTGCTTTGAAACCATAGACAAAAAAGGAATAGAGCAAGTTTTGGAAGGAGAAAATGATTTGATTGAAATTGAGGTATACATAATAGTTAATGAAACAAGTATTTGGTATAGAGCTCTTGAGTTTTTTTATAGACAGTTTGTAAAAATTGTATATTTCCCTTAACTTTTGTTGTTGTATTTCAGGGCAACGTGTATGTGAAGTGCCCATCAATTGCAGCAGCCATTGCTGCTGTCAATGCATTGCATGGCAGGTGGTTTGCTGGTGAGTTTCATCTGTTTTTCTAAGTCGTTTTATGGAGGATGTAATTTAAGTGAACATAACTAAACCTTCCTATTTGTTTCTTTCAACAGGTAAAATGATAACAGCAGCATATGTACCTCTTCCAACTTACCACAACCTCTTCCCTGATTCTATGACAGCAACACAACTACTGGTTCCAAGTAGACGATGAAGGAAGATATATAGTCCCTTATGTACATAGCTTTTTTTCTTTCTTGAGAATTCATCTTGAGTTATCTTTTATTTAGATAAAAATAAAGAGGCAAGGGTCTACTGTCATTTGTATACAATTCCTGTTACCTTGAAAAAATAAAAATGTTAACAGGAATGCAGTGTGCTCATTATCCCTAACTAGCAAATCCCACTGTATACAAAGCTGTTCTCTTGTTCTGCCTTTTAAATGTACATGTAGAAAATTACATTAAGGATCTATAGGAATAGTTCTAGGGGGGAACAAATGTGCTTAATGTAAAAAGGCAGACAGGGATGTAATTATGTTTTTAATGTTTCAGAAGCCTAACTTTTTACACAGCAGTTAGACATTTCACGTTTCACTAATGTTGATACTTGGCTAATGGTTTAGCAGAGGTTTCTGGAGTACACATTTAGTGTATGGAAATTCAAGACAGCTAAAGGGCTGTTGATTAAAATCTCATCTTGCTTCGTGATCAATTGGCAAGAAAAAGATTTCAAGATTACATTTCTGGATGGTATCTTTTCAATTAATGTATCTGTAAAAGTTTCTTTGTAAATATTATGTGTTCTGGTGTGTCTAAGATTCCAAACAAAATGATCCCTGCATTTCCTCAAGATGTTTAGTGACAGTCTGGTAAGCAAAGCAGTCTGAGCAAGAAATAGGAAATGCAGAAATAGGTTTTGTCTGGTTGCATATAATCTTTGCTCTTTTTAAGCTCTGTGAGCTCTGAAATATATTTTTGGGTTACTTCAGTGTGTTTGACAAGACAGCTTGATATTTCTATCAAACAAAAATGACTTTCATATTGCAACAACCTTTGTAAGAACCACTCAAATAAAATTCTCTTAAAAAGGCCACAAGAAATCTTCATTTTTGAAATGTTTTAAAGTCATAGAAACTTGAAAATAGAATATTAGTTTCTTTGACTTTTAGTAGTTATTCAAGACTTGCTTCTTGGGGAAAATTCTTACTGTGCAGAGTCTGGGGAACCTTGCCCTCATTGTCTCTGTACATTCCTCCATTTCACCATACCTTAGCCCTGTACTTATTAGGGTAAGCTATCAAAAGCAAAGCTGCCTAGGCCTTAAACCTGGGTATTCTTAAGTCTATTCAGGGATCTCTGTGAAGAAATGTTTCACTTTTTAAATACCAAACAAAGCCTTTTAAGTTTGAACATTTAACTGATTTCCGAAATTTACTTAGCTGCATTTGTTGCTTTATTAAGGAATTTGAGTCTTAATTGTATTTGGGCAATGAGCTATCACCATTTATATCCTGAACTCTACTTCAAGATTTTGCATCTACCTTGAACCTTTTGAGTAGGCAGTGTTGCACCTAATGGAATGATTACCTTCTAGTATTCATTTCTTTACATGCCTTTTTTTTTTTTTTCCTTTTTAAAGATTTTATTCAAGAGAGACAGAGGTGGGCAGAGGGAGAAGCAGGCTCCATGCAGGGAGCCTGATGCAGGACTTGATACTGGGTCACCAGGATCACGCCCTAGGCTGAAGGCAGACACCAAACCGCTTAGCCATCCAGGCATCCCCTAAATTTTTTTATTCTTGATTCATGTCTTATCCGTGTTTTATCATTACTTTCCAGGGAGATGAGCGAACAAAGGTAGACTTAATCTCAAATGTTAAAAAGGTGGCAAGAGAAAAGTAATTTCCCCACTGCCCCAGAATGAGTTGTAAATGATATTAAAGCAAGGATAGAAGTAATTTGAATAGTGTGACAAAATAGTTCAAATGAATTCTTAATCTTACAGGTAATGCATTCTTGAGGCCACATGTCACAGTGGGAAGTGTTGCCGTAGTTCTTCTGTAGTGTCCTTAACACCCCCCCCACCCCCCAGATAGACCAGTGTAGTTTATGTGTATTATAACATTACCATTTTCCTTGAGGGGCAATGCAGTTTAAAGTGCAATCTGTCACGGGATGTATGGCCATAGTAGGGGAGTGCCACTTGGCCTTAAAGGAAACTACCTTATGAAGCCAATTAACAGAATTGTGCGTGTGTGTGTGTGTGTGTGTGTGTGTGGTGTTCATTTTATGCAAATGACATCCTCATGGATGGTGAGTTAGAAAATTATGACGTTTACGCAGTTAAGGCTACATTGTGTTGGATGGTTTGGATTTTTTTGCCAGTGGATGATTTTTCTGCACAAAATCTGAAGTTTTGGATGAACAGTTTTGGAACTGAGACTTAACTTGGGTTAACACTAACTTTTGCAGTGCAACGTTGAGGAAATGTAGGCTTAGTTAAGCTTTTTTTTTTTTTTTTTTTAAAGATTTTATTTATTCATTCATGACAGACACACAGGGAGAGAGAGAGGCAGAGACACAGGCAGAGGGAGAAGCAGGTTCCATGCAGGGAGCCCAATGTGGGACTTGATCCCATATATCGATCACTCCCTAAACCGCTGAGCCACCGGAGCTGCCCCTTAGTTAACCTTTAAAATGGTGAGAACATCAACCTTAAGGGGTTGAATAACGATAGTTTACTAGAATCTATGAAAAGTTCCAGGTATGGAAAATTTTCCTAATTTTGGATTAACAGGATTTGGAAACTGACACCAAATCTCATTGGCCTATTCAATGCTGTAAGCTGGGTATATATAGGTGCAAAGTGAGAAGAAAAAATTAACACAGACTACTCAAAGAATTTTGTTTTATTATAGTACATGAGCTGGACTGATGGGAAAGGCTAGGTGTATGGGCAACCACTGCCCAGATTAGCATCGGATGCCCATTCCGATGGCCATGAATGTGCCAAATGTGCCGCCACTCTGCATCATGGTTTTCCCGATGCCGCCCATCAGCTCCCGACCCCGCATTCCGATCCTAAGAGAGGAGGAAAGCAAGATGGGGCCAACTGGGAACAAAAATATAAGAAATGGCATAACTGCCCTTTCCCAATTTTTCATAGTAAATCAAACACTTGAAGTCTGGCAAGACATTATCTCTTCCCAGATAAGGGGGGTAATGACTAGGAAATCAATGCATCAGGATTTCTAGGGGTATTAGAATATCCTATGACCTGCCTTCAGTTTGTGGGAGGCAACATAGAGGAGCTAGTTTTTGCGCTTTTACCTCCAGGATATATGGAACACACATGCGCCAATAAAGACATTTATCTTTCTGATGGTTTCCTGGTGTTAAAGCAACAATTCGTGGAGTCAGACCTGTGTTCATGCACCAGCTCTGCAATTTATGGGCTAAGTATAAAATGGGGACCATCACATTCACAGGATTGTTGTGAGAACACATGCAGCACTTAGAATAGTGATTCACACTTGGTCAGTGCTCAGTAAATGGTAATTTACAATGTGGAAAAACGGGAATTAACTCTACTACATGTGAAAATGACATTAGGGTGTTGAGTTTATCTGCTGCGTATCTACATCCTGTTTCCAGTAAGTAAAATTGCTCAACAACTGTTTCACTATGTGCAAGTGGAAATAAAAACAGCAGCGGCAGTAGTAACCATTTATTGAGCACTTAATATGTGCCACATTCTGTGGTATGTGGGCTCTGTTAAATCCTCACAACTCTATGAGGTAGATGTTACCTTACTGACCTCATTCTCCACTTAAGGAAACCCAGACTCCAACGTGCTTTAAGGTTACAGAATGAGTGAAGAGTCAGATTTTCTGACTTTCAGTTTGAATCAGAACTCATATTCTCAAGCGCCGAGGCTTCCAACCTTCCTTCCAGACTGAAGGTGGGTAGGAATCAGTCTCGTTAAAGGATAGCGAGGGAATTGAAACGAAGTAGGCTCTATCCATGCAGCCCGCCAAGTGGCGCGGGGCAGGAAGGTCCGGTAGTCCCGCCCAGAGATCACCGCCCACCCCCCTCACCTGAGACAGGAAAAGGTGCCGAAGAGCGCCCCGGCCGCCATGCCCACTGCGCAACCCATCACAAAGCCCATCTTCACGCGGTCAAAGCAGCTCGGCTGGGACTGTCCGTAGGGCCCCACGGCCACCGGCATCTGCGGGGTTCGAAGGTTAGGGGAGTGTGGGCCTAGCCGCCAGCCCGGGCGGGGGCCGGAGGAGGCGGGGTGGGGAGCGAATCTAAGGGTTCGGGGAAGTCCAGGGAGGAAAATAAGCGCGTAGCCCAACTCCATCACCCTCTTAGCGTTCGGGTACCCGCGCCGCGGTGCCCCCCACCTCACCTCGTTCGCGGCTTCGGTCGCTCAGTTCTACGTCTCACCCGGAACGCGAGGCGGAGCGCGCCTGCGGCCCGAGCAATTGCTTCCGGGACGCGGAGCACAACTTCCGGGAGCACGTAGCTGAGGACTGCGGCCGCATCGGGCGGGGGGCTCTGCCTGCGGGACCATGCTGCTGCGAACCGCTTGGAGGCGGGCGGCCGCGGCTGTGCCGGTAGCTCCGGGGTCCAGGTCCGAGGCGCCCACTCGGGGGCTGCGCCTGCGCGGTACGCTCCGGGTCCTGCTCGCCGCCGCCTCCCGGCAGGCGCGGACCTTCTCCCTTCGCGTGGCGAAGCACCTCAATATTACAGAGCCTCCCTCTTCCGCGCGCGCAACCCAGACCCTCTGACTCTGCCTTCCTGCTGCACCCCTCAAACTTCCTCAGGCCCACCCTCAGAACGGTTGACTTCGCCTTCAGATCCTGCCCCACAGGCCTTCGGAGCCTTGCAAGTTCCGTCGGCCTTCAGACCTCTCTTGGCCAACTTTAAGAGATGCTAGTCGTCCAGCCAGTAATCTTGAGATCTTACCTACTCTGTTTCCACAGTCCTGAATGGCTGCCCTTTCGTATCCCTCCCTGCTCCCAACGAAGCAATTCGAATATTGTCCCTACATCCCCCTCCAAGAACATGGTCTCTCTCCCTAACCTCCTTTTACAGTTTGCTTAAGTTCTCTGATCTGATGTTTTGTTTGCTTTTCCGTTGAGATTCAACCCCTGCGTCCTTTCAGCTCATCTCACTCCCATCCAGCTTTCACCTCCTGCTGTCTTGGATACCCTGTGTCCGTAGGTTCTCTCACGCTTGGCCCTTCCATACCTTTTTTTTTTTTTTTTTTTTGTCAGTTGTAGACCATGCTCCCCAGTCTGCTGTTCCCTCAGATACAGCCACTGCTCCACCGGCAGAGTCAGTGCTGCGACCTCTGTATATGGATGTGCAAGCGACAACTCCTCTGGTAAGGATGGAGGGGCAGATTTCCCCAAAGCTGTTTATAAGAATCACAATGCAGAAGTGATAATGCACCAAAATGACTGGATCCTGCAGAAGTAAGAGTCATCGTGAAGTGTGTTTTGGGAAAAGCAATGGGCCAGGAGTCAGGAGGTTTAAATTATAATAAACTAGAAGCAGTTCTACTTACTAGCTATTGACCTTGATCAAATCACTTCGGTGTAGGTGCTATAGTAGGAATAAAAGCATAGGCTCTGGAATTAGCTGGATTGCTATTTACTAACTATGTGAATTTGGGCAAGTATTAAAAAGGTTAAAAAGGTGTAAAGGAGCCCTTAGACAGAACCTGGCACATGACAAGCACTTCAATATTAATGGAAGATTTCATCAACATGTGGACTCTTGTCACTCCTGGCCCTTGTAGATCGCATCACCTGGCAGGATGTAGAAACGGCTGTCGGGACAAGGCAATGTTTGTAGATTACCTGAGGAGATGGTAGGATAATCATCTGGTAGAACGATTTAAGGTGGGTCGAGAGTGGGAGTATATTGGGCTGATATTTGTTTAGTACTTCAGGGAATGGAAGAATGTTTAAGGCACAATCTAGGCCGTGTCTGAAGGGTTGGGAGTGTGTGGAGGCAGTTTGGGCAGGTCTGAGGGGATGGAGTGGGGCCTGAGTGATCTGTGGACTCAAGAAGACTGATTTATTCTTTTGTGCTCAGGACCCTCGGGTACTTGATGCCATGCTCCCTTACCTAGTCAACTACTATGGAAACCCACACTCCCGGACACATGCTTATGGCTGGGAGAGTGAGGCAGCCATGGAACATGCTCGCCAGGTTAGTACAGAAGGGTAGGAGGTTCTGATGACAGAGGTTCGGTGGACTATAGGAGGCATTTCATTCATAGCTCTGGGTGGAGGTGGACATGATTTGAGGCTCTTTCAGGAAGAGATTAGAGATCAGGCCTTGGAGTCCCTCTGCAGGCATTTTATTTTTTTTTTAAATTTTTTTTAAATTTTTTGATTTATTTATTTATGATAGTCATAGAGAGAGAGAGAGAGAGGCAGAGACACAGGCAGAGGGAGAAGCAGGCTCCATGCACCGGGAGCCTGACGTGGGATTCGATCCCAGGTCTCCAGGATCACGCCCTGGGCCAAAGGCAGGCGCTAAACCGCTGTGCCACCCAGGGATCCCCAATAAGTGCTTTTTAAAAAGCCAATATTGTGGGGTGCCTGGGTGGCTCAGTCAGTTGATCATCTGATTCTTTTTTTTTATTTTATTTTTTTAAGATTTTATTTATTTATTCATGAGAGACACAGAGAGAAAAAGAGAGAGGCAGAGACACAGGCAGAGGGAAAAGTATGCTCCATGCAGGGAGCTAATGTGGGACTTGATCCCAGGTCTCTAGGATCAGGCCCTGGGCTGAAGGCAGTGCTAAACCGCTGAGCCACCCAGGCTGGCCCTGAGCATCTGATTCTTTTTTTTTTTTTTTTTTTTAAGATTTTATTTATTTATTTGAGAGAGAGAGAGAGCACAAGCATAGGGAGAAGTGGAGGGAGAGGGAGAAGCAGACTCTGCTGAGCAGGGAGCCAGACATGGGGCTCGATCCCAGAACCCCGGGATCACGACCTGAGCCAAAAGCAGCCGCTTAACCAACTGAGCTACTCAGGCGCCCCCTGAGCATCTGATTCTTGATTTTGGCTTGTCATGATCTCAGGGTCATAAGATGGAGCCCCATGTTGGGCTCCACACTTAGCTGCACTCACCAAGATGTCTGCTTAAGAGTCTCTCTCCCTCTTCCTCCTCCCCCCTGCTCGTGTCCACGCATTCACACATGATCTCTCTCTCTCAAATAAATAAATAGATCATAAATAATAAATAAATAAATAGCCAATATTGGGGCACCTGACTGGCTCAGTCAGTGGAGCATTTGACTCTTGTTCTCAGGAGTGTTTGAGCCCTGTGCTGCGTATGGATATTAAAAATAAAATCGTAAAATAAAAATAAAGATAATAAAATAAAAATAAAATCTTTGAGGAGCCTTCATGGTTCAGTCAGTTAAGCTCCTGCCTTCTGCTCAGGTCATGATCCCAGGGTCCTGCTCAGTGGGGAGTCTGCTTCTCCCTTTCCCTTGCTCCTCCACCCCTTTTAAAAAAAAGATTTTATTTATTTATTCATGAGAGACACACAGAGAGAGAGAGGCAAAGACACAGGCAGAGGGAGAGGCAGTCTCTGTGCAAGGAGCCTGATGTGGGACTTGATCCTGGGACTCCAGGATCACGCCCTGAGCCAAAGGCAGAGGCTCAACTACTGAGCTACCCAGGCATCCCTTTTTTTTTTTTTTTAAGATCTTCCCTTCCCCTTGCTTGTGCTCTCACTTTCTCTCAAATAAATAAATAAAATCTTTAATAAAGAAAAAAAATCTTTAAATAAATAACCATTATTATTATTATTATTATTATTATTATTATTATTATTTTGTATCAGGCAGGAAAAGAGCCTCGGATCTGGAATGGAACTGAATCTAAATATTGTCTAACCCTAGTGGGCACAGAACTTCTTGGGCAGTTGATAGGATGCAGTGGAGCTTTTTATTTTATTTTATTTATTTTATTTTATTTTATTTTATTATTTTATTTTATTTTATTTTACTTTTTACTTTACTTTTTACTTTACTTTACTTTACTTTATTATTTTATTTTATTTATTTTATTTTGAGAGACACAGAGAGAGAGAGAAAGGCAGAGACACAGGCAGAGGGAGAAGCAGGCTCCATGCAGGGAGCCCGATGTGGGACTTGATCCCGGGTCTCCAGGATCATGTCCTGAGCCAGAGGCGGCGCTAAACCGCTGAGCCCTCCAGGGATCACCTGGAGCTTTTCTTGAATCAGAGCTCTGTCCTAGCTGTGTCTGCAGTTGCATTGCTGTCTGCAGAACTCAAGTTATTTATCTCTGTTTCTTGGTTTGCAGCAAGTAGCATCTCTGATTGGGGCTGATCCTCGTGAGATCATTTTCACTAGTGGCGCTACTGAATCTAACAACATAGCAATTAAGGTAAGAAAATGAGAAGGCATATGTGGGCTTTCCTGACTTGGGAGTTGGCCCTCCATCATTTGGGTTCCTGTATATATTTCCCAGCTACCCACTCTGACCCTATTGTGAAAAAAGACATAAGCAAACATAGGCTCTTTCTGATTTATTGCTTCCTTCAACCCTCTGAGATCTACTCCATCTTAAGTCTTTGTTCCTGTTGAACTAAGTTCAGTGAGGTAGTTGGACATGAAGAAGGTGGCTCTTTGACCATTAACTACTGGTATTTTGGACAGCAGCTACTTTAGGGAGTGGATAATGGTGGCTCAACCCTTTTCCCCATCCTTTTTTTTTTTTAATTTTTATGTTTTTTTAAAATTTTTATTTATCTATGATAGTCACAGAGAGAGAGGCAGAGACACAGGCAGAGGGAGAAGCAGGCTCCATGCACCGGGAGCCCGACATGGGATTCGATCCTGGGTCTCCAGGATCGCGCCCTGGGCCAAAGGCAGCGGCCAAACTGCTGCGCCACCCTGGGATCCCTTCCCCATCCTTTTTAAATAATTTCTACACCCAGTGTGGGGCTCCAGCTCACAACCCTGAGATCAAGAGTCACACATTACCAGCTGAGCCAGCCAGGTGTCCCTTCCCCATCCTTTTGATCTAGTCACGGTGAAGTCCAGAATCCACTTGCAATTAGACATGCTTCTCTTCTAGTTACCACCTTCACCCTTCTATATGTGATTTCAGGGCTGCCTTCCTCTCAGCCTTCTCTTTTCTTTCTGATGAGATCTATTTGCTACAAGTTTCTCCTGTTTCTTTTTTTAAGATTTATTTATTTTAAAAAATCATTTATTTATTTTAGGGGTGGCTCCTATCTTTAGGAGCATAGAGCCCAGCATGGAGCTTGATCCCATGACTTTGAGATCATGATTGGAGTTGAAACCAAGAGTCTATAAAGTTAGCCAACTGTGCCACCCAGGCATCCCTTTAAAATTTTTTTTTAATTTGTTAAAGATTTTGCGCATATATATATATATATATATATATATATATATGCACACACACATGCACATTTATTTATTTGA